GCCCCTCTGCCTGACTTCCCACAGGCCTTAGGAGAGTAAGATCTTTTCGGTCTCAACTTTTCAGCTGGTTCTTTTGTGACCAAATTAGCTAAGTAGCCAACTCCCACCCCGACCACCCCCACAATTGCCTCTCACCCTGCATTATTTTCTGCACAAATTATTAGATTTGTCTGTCTCCTATCACTAGAATAACAGCACAAGAGAATAAACTTTGTCTTGTTTTTTGTTATATCCCCAGAGCTTTGAACAGTACCTAACACATAGCACGCATTTAATACACACTTGTTGAATGAATGAATGGATGAAGGTAACCTTTGAACCCAAATGTTTATGTTGCTAAAGCCCATGCTTTGACCACCAACATGCTGCAATTTTTGATTAAAGTCTTAAGATGGATTCAGTCCTGGGATAAGCATGGTGCAGAGTACCCAGGAATAATACCTGCTGCTTCCCTTCAAGATGTTCATAATGTAGTTGTGATACCAGACTCATTTGTTCTTGAGATAAATACAGTAACGGCTGGATGATGGGAGTGGTTTTACAGGACCTCAAAAGGCAGAAGAGAGTGGCTGGTGAAGACCCAGCTGTTCCTAGAGATGAGCGACTTGATAGGAGCCTTGGATGGAGGATGTCTGGTCTTGCATAAGACTTAGAGTTGGTGAGTTTATCCAGGAGAGAGTCCAATAAATGGCATGTGCTTTAGAGCATTCTAGGCTGGAGACATTTGCTAGCTCTTTTTTCTGGGGAAAAAAACTCTTACTTACAAATAGAGTTTTATGAGAAAACAAGGCCAGCAAGAGAAGAAGAAAGTGAGGAAGGGGAAAGTGAGAAAGTGGAGTTCCTTGTTTCCGACTTACGGCCATGGTTGTAGTGGGGACAAGATGGGCCAAGACCTGGCACAGAGTGAGTGTCAGATGTTTATTGCCTCTCATATTCTTCAAGGTCTCCTCTGTGGGGTTTGCCTGGAATGCCACACTTTCTCCAGAAATAAATCGCTGGCTATGGGACTCATAAGAGGAGGCCACTTCTTTGGGGCAAGCAGTGGGGCAAAGCTGCTCTGCAGCATCACATGGCCCAGGTCAGGGGCTGCACAGAGCCTGGCCATTGGCAGAGACTGTTCAAACCCTCCAAGAATTTCTCAGAGGGTCCCAGCTGCCCTGCATGAGGACTGCCCCTCTCATCGCTGCTAGAAAAGTTTAGCACAAGAGGATCCCTGAGAACCAAGTCACTGGATAGTGAAGATAATTATGCTTATGATTAACTTCCATCCATCCAGCCAGCCAGCCATGCAGCCAACAAGAAGGTATTCTATGCCAAGAATCATGCAAATTACAGGGGCTACAGTAAGGGTTGGGCTACAGTAAAGGTTAGACAAGTTTCTTTTCCTTGAGGAACTTGTGGTCTATTCACAAAGAAAACCATATGCAGTTAGTTTCTACCCATGTTTCCAGATCTGGTTTGAAAGAAACATTTATCACATACCCAGGCTTGGCCACAAAACCACACATTAAACCAAACCAAAACATTCCACGAAGGGAAAGACTATAATTCACCTTTTTTGTTCCTCGAAAGCCCTTCCCAGAAAGGTGATAATGAAAGATTTGGTCTCATCTGAGCCACAGGCAAGGGATTTGCATTTTAAAGTTTGACAGATATTTATAGGTCTTTTGATCTCTTCTCCTCTCTACTACCCACCCCAGCCTCACTGCCTCCCCCTCCCCCACCTCCTTAGTTCTCTTCCCATCTTCAGAAATGATGGCTGTACAGGCTCCTGGCACATGTGCACTGGCGAGATGTGCCTGTAGCCACATAGCTCTTATTTATCCAATACCAGCTATATACCAAGAACTTTCTTCCTAACCTCAATAATCACTCTGTAAGGTTTATATTATTTACTTTTTTTTAAGTGAAGAGGAAAATGAGGTTCAGAGAGGTTAAGTGACCTGCCCAAAATCACTAATAGGAAGTAGGAGAGAGAATGAAAACTCGGGTCTATGCACATCCTAACCTAGGACCTTTTCATTAAACCAAACTGACTCTAGTAGACAACACTGGTTATCGTAGGCTACTTAGCTACGACCCTTCTTGGAAAAGGTAATCTTGCATTCCCGTTTTCTTGCGGGTGTTATTCTGGAAATAGCCCAATAAACGTCACAATTTGATTTACTCGAGGACAAACTTGCAGCTGTCTTTTTCTTTGGAGCTCTTCTTGGGCCTGATTTTTTCCTCTCCTTCTACTCATCTTTCACACAGACTGCTGCAGCCCAACAGCTGCACATCTTAGCTTTGGACCTTCCTCCACAGCCCCATGGGATCTGTGGAGCAGAGGCTCTCCAACCAAAGAAACCCAACTGAAAACAAGCTCAGAGTCTCAGACCCTAATATTTTTGCAGCTGGAGGGAATCCCTAAAGCCATCTAGGAAACTGAGGTTCAGAGAATGACATGTGCAATGCAACTGGTGTCAAATGTATTTGGATACTACAGATTTGCTATGTTAAAGTAAAAGACAAAGGAAACAAGTCAGATTAATGAATACCTAAATGTGCTAGGGCTTTGTATCATTTAATCTTCACTACAACCCAGTGAGGTAATAAAAAAAAATTTTGTCCTTGTGTTCCAGATGAGCCCTGACTCAGAGAAATAACTCACTCCAACAAGTTCAAGTCAGGATCTGAACTCAAGTAATCGTAGCAGACCCTTTCCCACAATGTGTGGCGGAGTGTGACAAGGCACAAAACCAATCTGCTGGCTGAGGGTAGTGACTGGCCTATGAAGTGTGTTCCTATGCTGAAGAGCAAAGAGCTAACAGGACAAAGAAATGACCTCAATCATTTTGTGGACTTAATGAGGCCAACCAAGTCAGTAACCTAAGTTCATCTGGCATTCACAATAACCTGGGTCATATTTTGACCAAGAGGGCCTCCCGTGAAAAACAAGGTCTATTCACTGACCTACCACATTTTCTAAAGCTTTCTGAGACTCTGTTACCAGTCAGAAGCTTCTACAAGTTCCCTTCCTCCTTGGAAAATCCGTCACCCTCCTAAAAGAGAAGGCCTTAGAAGTGCCAAATTGGGAGCCATAAGAAAGCCGATGCTGGTTGCTGCATCTTCCGGTTGAGGTTGAGAGATCAGGTTCAAAGCTCAAGCCACAGCTCCCCCACCCCCACTCCCCACTTCCCACCCCATCTCCAATCTAGACAGGGAATGGTCCTTCCCTTCCCCCACTACAGTTTCTTGTAAAAAACCTCTGGATTGTGCTCAGCTGGGGGCAGACTGGGAGTTTGAGGCATCCTTTCTGCTCTCTCCAGATCAACCTCAACCTCACATAGGCACTTGGGAAAGTTCCTCTCCAGGAAGAATGACTACAGAAGCAGAAATCTCCTTGGGCTACTCCTAAGAAAGCTTTTTTTCCCAGTGATTCCTTGTCAACTATGCAACTGTGGGTCCAGCATTCAGAACAACAAGGGTGAGAGGTGATGCTGGTCTAATGGCCTCAAATCTTACCCAGTAAGCCCTGGCCCAGTCCCAACTGCTCTTTAAGGTACAACTCACAACCGGTTTCTATTAAGACATTTTTCTACACTTTCTGTTCATATTAACCTCATTCTCCTTAGAAAAGAGATATGCCCACACATAATTATCAAGAGAACAGGCTGTTATCAAGTGGCAATTGAGTTGTGCCTCTAGGGATACCTTCCACTTCCCACATAAGAACACTTTTCTTCATCTTGATACCTATTCTGCAGCTTATAATTGACCTGCTACTGACAGTGTTAATAAAGATCGCTACTTGTCATCATTTTACTAGCTTGTAGGTGAGGACCTTTTTTCTTATTTGGAAATATTCATCATTTTCATCAATCTATCCAATAGCTTTTAGCTTTTTTGGAGTCATGCAAAACCTTTAAAATCCTATGATATCTGTAGATCTCCTTACCAGTAAAATACATGTGAGCATGCATACCATTTTTGTTGCATGCCTTAAGCCCATTCCTGACCTCTTTTACACTAAAGACTCCTGTTCTAGGCAGTGAGCTTCCCGAAACAGAGACTTTGTCTGTGACTCTTGTCTCTGGATCCTCAGACAAAGCACAGTCCTCTGGCCCAGGATCAGCGGGTGGGAAATATCTGTTTGAGCCAAGTTGAATGCAGATTCCTCTCAGAGAGTGCCCTTTGGGTTCTGTTTGGCTGGCTGTTTTAAGGTACAATATCTTCAGAGGTAAAAGCAGGTAACAGATACATCTGTTTTAAGGAAGGTGGAAGCAATCCAATCCAGAGCAGGATTCATTTGAGAGGAGTGGGGGTGGGAAGAAGCTGGGGGCACAGGGCACTTTGGGGAGCAGAAAAAGGCAGTTGAACCAAAGAGGCAGGTACCAGTTACCTTCCCCATCCTGTACTGTGGGATCAGGCACTGTAGACAAAGGCAGTGGTGGCTCCGAACCACATATTCAGCCTCCTTAAGCCGCCTGAGGAATACTAGCTGCCAATGGATTCGATTGGGGTGTAATGTGATCACTTAAATCTCTAAAAAAACAGCTGTGGCCAAAATGTGTTTTCAGCAAAGATTTCTTCCGAAAACAGGTTGAACCTGTTCATACTATGGCCAAAGACATCCCAGGAGAGTTCTTGGGCTTACCTCATAATTCAGCAATTGCCTCCAAGGTGATATCCACAGATATATGATTTCTCAGATAGCTTTCCAGGAAAGCTTTCCAGGAAACAAACATCTCTTGAGGACATGAGAGTTCATTCCCCAATTCTCTGGGTCCTCTGAAGTCAAATAATCAATGTTCAGAGGTACAGGGACTAGAGTTGGGAACTCCCTGAGCTGGTTGTCGCCAGTGGTATAATACTTTCCAACTAAGAACCTAAGGAGGACCAAACCCTGGGTCAGACCCTGTTGTTCCCATATGAGGCCCCAAGATATGGTGGCAAGAGCCCAGCCATTGGAGAGGAACACTCTGTTTTCCAAATGCCAGCTCGCCAATTTATTTGAAGCATCCATTATACTAGCACTCTTAACTTGCATACTTCCTAAAAGGTATTTTTGGTGGCTAGGCGAAGCATAGTAACAAACCTTAAGGCTTTGGACCACTAGCACGTGACCTCCAGCAAGTTACTTTACCTCTTTCAGCTTCAGGTTCCTCGGCTGTGAAACACTGGCAGTATCGTGAGTGTTGATGAAGCTATGAGATAGAGCACTAATTGAAATTCATGGAAGGTGCTCCATAAAAGTTCATAACTACTTGAAAATTATACCTACCACAAAGCAGGATAATTGAAAGCAGAACAGTGAGTTTAAGAGTAGAGAAATATTCTCAAGCGAGTGAGTGCCAAATGCACATCATGTTCAGAGCAAGTGATGGTAGCTAAGGGTAACTGGCAGGAAGGCAGAGCCTCCATTCATCCTAAGCTACTAGTCTAGTTGAGGGGACAATCCCAGAGGAGGAAAACCCTGTGTCAGGGTGTGAAGGACCAACTATACTCACAATGGAGGCCACCAAGGGGTTGACTGGGAGTCAGAGTAGATCAGAAAAAACAATTAGGATTTGGACAGGCAGTGGGATGGGACACCTCACCCTAGATAGGAAACCTACACCAGCCAAGGCACAGCAATGGGATGATCAGCCTGTCTTCCAAGGAAAGTGAGAAGGGAAAGTCCAGACTGGAGAAAAGGGGAAGAAGTAGTAGGAAGCTTTAGTGACCTGTAAGACGGGTAATAAGATGATCAAAGGAGACAACAGGCCAGGGATTCATCGCAGGCACAGTCCCAATGGTATCAGAAAACAATGCTGAGAGCTATAAGATGGCAACAACTCACATGGCCGCAAAGGGATGGGAGGAGTAGGGAAGGGAGAGCAGTGGGGAATTTCCTCGATTCCGTGTCTGTTCCTTAGCACAGGCACTGCTTCGGCTCCCCAGCTCTGCCAAGAGCACTCTTCTTCAGGGCCTGTCACAATTGCTCTCACAAATAACTGAAAGGGTCATGCAGCCCCCAAAGACTCTCCTCCTCTCTTTTCTTAAGAATGCTCTGCAAAGGCTAGTTTCAGGCACTTACCTTCTCTCTGCTTGGCTTTCTCACTTGTACTTGCCAAAGCGGGTCTTCCTATAAGGGATAATTAGATTACATCTTTAGAACATTTTGAGCTATGCGGAAGAGAGAATATCGTGCATAAACATACAGCCACAGTCATTATCGCAGGATTCCATTTCCTTTGTTCTGTTTGAATCCATCTCCTGGCAACAGCTGTCCGGCTCCCTAAAGCCAGCAACAGCTGCAATAATGAGCCTACCCTTTGAGTGTGTGGATGACAGTCTCAGCCCCACGGTGCAGCTGTTCTTTAAAGTCTGCTGTCTTGACCCTCCCTCGGGTATGGACAACAAAGAGAGCCATTCATTAAACCCCTGTGTTTCAAGTTCTCATATGGAAAAATCCCCTACTCCTCTTAACCAGTGGTACAGTCTTTTAATTCTGCCACTTACTGGTAGTTTTACCACAGGCAAGCGCAAAAACACCTCTTGGAACTTTGGTTTTCTTAACTCTCCAATGGAAATAATAATATCACCGACCTCATGAGGTTGCTGTGATGCTCCAAAGAATTAATAGATGTGAAAATCTTTTGCAAACTATAAGAAAATATTCCTGTAATAGTTATTAGGGTCCTTGTTCCTAAATTTAACAGGTAAAAAAATTTACTAAAAATATAGGACACTACTGTCAACTCCTGACTTGGGCTACACAGCTGAAGGGTCACTGAGGACTGGTGGAGGCAGAGAGTTTTTCTGGGGGAGGTGGTTGGCCCTGGCTTAGAAGGACACACAGATTCTGAAAGGTGGTCAAGAGAAAAGAAGGGACAGCCAGGTGAAGGACACAGCCCATGCAAATGATGAAAACAGAAAATTTGGCGTAGGGACAGTGTAGAGCCATCCTGGAGTCAGGCAGAGAATGGGCCTGGCACCAGGGGTACATAAAGTTCGAAGAGTCAGGATGGGCCAGATCGTGAATAGTTTCTGATGAGAGGTAGGGAAGTTATCGGAGATTTTAGTATCATGAAAAAGTCCAGGAGTTATAAAGATCCACATATCACCTAGTCCTGCTCCCTGTTTCAGTGATTTTATCTTTGTTCAACAATCTAGACAGAGGGGCTGCACTGGGTGTGCTCTTGGCATCCTGGTGCATGGCTCAGTTGCTCTTGTACCCTGGCAGGTCTTCAGTCTGTCCAAGCATCAGCGTCCCCTACCCTGCTTATTAAAAAGAGACTACCGGCTGGGCACGATGGCTCGTGCCTGTAATCCTAGCACTCTGGGAGGCCAAGAGGGGCGGATCGCTCCAGGTCAGGAGTTCGAAACCAGCCTGAGCAAGAGCAAGACCCCATCTTTACTATAAATAGAAAGAAATTAATTGGCCAACTAAGATATATATAGAAAAAATTAGCCGGGCATGGTGGCGCATGCCTATAGTCCCAGCTACTCGGGAGGCTGAGGCAGGAGGATTGCTTGAGCCCAGGAGATTGAGGTTGCTGTGAGCTAGGCTGATGCCATGGCACTCACTCCAGCCTGGGCAACAAAGCGAGACTCTGCCTAAAAAAAAAAAAAAAAAAAAAGAGAGAGAGAGAGACTACTAGGCTCCAGCCCAGACTTACCAAATCAGAACCTCTAGGAGAGAGACCTGGGAAAATTCTCTTTTTGAAAATTTGAGTCCCCTCTCCCCAGGTGATTCTTGCTCTCAGGGAAGTGTGGCGATAGCGTGACTGTGCACTATATGATCCCTGCAGAGGAAGGCTCGTCCAGGCTCCATGCCTGCTGGGGCTGGAGGATGACTGCTCAGTCTCCAAAGGGCTGGGGACGGTCATTCAACTGCTCAGTAGCTACACTTCTGGACCAGAAAAGACTGGAACCTTTTCTTCAGGGAACAACTTTTCCTCTCTTCTACCTTTCTTGTTATCTTCCCCTGAGTCTTTTCTCTGTTTTTTTCTACTCTGTGCAAACTAAACACGGAGCTCCAGCAAGGACCCAGCAACCTTTACTGTATCCTGCCTGCCAATGTCCTGTTCCTCTTTGCAGGAGTCCTTCCCGTTTAATCCCCCCTTCCTTCCTCCCTCCTTTCCTTCCTTCCTGTCTTGTCTTTTTTTTATGTCTAAATAAGTATACTACCCAGATTCCTTGATTCAGCTTGAGGGCACCTGTGATTCTTGAGTCTTTTTCATTTATACATGGACCTACTCAGGCCAGCCTTGCCTAGTCACTGCTTTGATTCAAAATTCTAATTTTTAAATTAATAACTTCCTTAAAGTTAGAAAATACTGACAACTGTAAAACGTAACAGCAACAGCTGAGTGCTTACTCCGTCTGAGGCCAGGTATGACATTTCTTTACGTGTATTAATCTTTGCAACAGTTTTATAAAGTAGATACTGTCGTGATTCCCATATTACAAAGAGAGAAACTGAGATACAGAGAAATGAAGTTACCTATAATCACATGGTTAGGTAAGTGGAGGAGTCAAGGTTTGAACCTAAGAACTCAGGCTCCAGAGTTTTCTATGCTTCCAACCATGTCACCAGACCACCCCCTCAAGAAGAAATAAGATGAATGAAGAGAAAATTGCTCCCAAGTCCTATTACCAGAAATAGCCACTCTTGCCACTGAGTCATTTTTCTATGAGAAAGAAATTTTAATTGGATCAAAGTATTAATTTTATATATCCTGCTTAAAAACTCTAATCCTAGATTATATTTCCTATATTGTGTTCTACATAAATATGTTTTCTTTATCAACTATATAATATTCCATCACATGAAGAGGGCGTAATTTATGTAATCATGTCTTTATTCGATATTTAGGTTGTTTATAATTTTTTACTATCATGACACTATAGCGAATATTCTTGTTCATAAGTATTTGACGGTAACTTTATTCAGTTCTACAGAATAAAGTCTTTGTATCAAAAGTACTTTTAAATCTAAAATGCATTTTGGAGACTTCAAAATGTTTAGAAAATTGAACCAGTTGACTCTCCCACAAGCAGTGAGTGGGAGGACTTCCTCACCCTCTTGCCAACTTTGCCAATTTGGGAGGTGAAAAATGGCCTTGACTTGTTGTTTCCATTTACATGTCTTTGATTACTAGTGAGGTGAACTTTTCTTCTATGTTTATTAGCCACTTGTATTTCTTCTTTTGTGAGCTGTTTATTTATGCCCTTGTTCATGTTCCCAACAGCAAGCTTGTGTTTTCCTTATCTGTATGAGTTCTTCACAGCCATCACCTTTTGACTATCATCTTTGGCTATCCCATATCTAAATACTGAGAAATATTTTTCCAAATTTGTTCTTTGCCTTATATCTATTTTTAGATGTCGGTTAACTTGCAAATATGGAAATCTGAATTAAAAATGATCAGAAGCAGAGGCCAAAGTTTGCGAATATAAGCAGGCTCATTATGCAGACATCTTACTAAAAACATTTTTAGAATTCATTTTAATAATAGGAGTTTGGGCACTGTGTAAGAAGAATGAAGACATGAACTTTGCATTTTTCTGTTCTTTAGGCTGGTAAAAACAGGGGGGGGGGATCCTTGGAGAACAACCTCTGTGCAAATTGCTTTTAACTTTTTGACATGGGTATTAAAATGCCACCCCAAATACCAGTGGTAATAAAGAATCCAACTTAAAAGGGGGAGTAGGTGTAAATGTAACACATGAGATTTTTTTAAAATCTTGCTGGCCAGTTGCTGAAGAATCAGTGGTGAAGCACTCTAGGCTGCCTCCCCTCCCCAGTCTGGGGCGAAAAGCTTGGCTATTTGGGGCTAAATGTTGACATCCTGAGATTTTTGAACCGAGATGAGCTGCTCATATGCCCTTGCAATAAGAATAACCAAAACATCCTGCTCTGAGGCTCCCAAGAGAGAATTAGCTTCTACTTCCTCTTTTTATTGCCCTCTTCTCTGCTCTAATGTTTCCCTACTCCACACATGCCTTTCCCCTCTCTGCCACCCGCCTGTCTGCCCTGTAACCGCCCGTTTTGTGTGGACCTGGTGATTGAGAAGTGTTTTTTTCTTTCAAATGAATATATTTAGCGATATTTTCAAAAGAGAAAGAGGCTTATATTCAGGTACCAGAGACCCTGAAGGGACATGGATACCTCAGAATGGATTCATTTTAGAGAAAACCACA